GCTCCTACAAATTGTAAATTTGTTTCTGCCTTTTCATTATTATATTTCACCGAAGACGGCGGAGTTCTGAAAGGCAGCGCAATGCACAGCCCACGGAGTGTTATCAGGCACACTCGACCAGACGAAACAAAACAAACAGCTTCATTCTCTTCAGGAGACACCGCCATGCTAGTAATTCTTTCGTCACCATGTGCTATTTTTGCAAATCCGACCGCTTTAGATTCGTTTATGTCCCACAGGAAGACCATACCATCGATACCATAGGAAATGAGATAACGGTTTTCCTTAAGAAATTGGCAAAAATCAATTCTACCTAGATGGCCGCAGAGAACAAGCTTTGAGGAATTGATTTGAGAAGCACGAAGATTGTACAAAAGAATTCTGTTGGCGATGCAACAAATTAAAAATTTATCGTTCAACGAAACAGAGCACTGACGGAACTCGACAGATTGGTAAGGCTTCTCAACTCCAAGTCTGGTCAAAAGGCGACTAGGATCTTCATCGTATTTCCAGACCTCAATCTGATACTCCCCACACAGAATAAGCTCTCGTTTGTGTGACAGAGTACAACAAGATTCAATGGCGAGTAATGTTTTCGACTTCACTTTTCCTATTGTACATTTCCCTGTCACATCCCATACGAAGCAACTCAAATCATCTCTAAAATTCTTGACACAGAAGAGAAGGGAGGAGCTGTCTGATGAAAACGTTATGTTTGAAACAACGTCTTTGCAATCTGTTAAAAATACCGTGCACAGGAACTCAACAATACCACTTCCCTCCAGGCAATATAGTTCCACGTTGTTTCCGTGGTGAATGGCAATCAGCTGTCCGCTTGGGGAAAACACACAAGACTTCACGGAGCTGATCGGATCACCAAACTTACTAATTTTTGGGGACAATTTAAAGGCAATTTTTTCTCTTTTCTCGGTAACATTCCAAAACGTCACATGTCCGTTAGAGGCAACAGTTACAACTACGTTGATTGAAAAGAATACCGCCGCGATCGACTCTCTTACCGCTACTGATTCAAAATGAGGTGGTGATGATTTAGCGTAGTCAGAGCGTTCAACTCCATATTTCTCATAAAGTAGAGACTCGGGGTATGCATCTATATCCATTGCGGACACTTTAGTGAACTTTTTATGTAGCAGCACGGGCATTTCATTCCGAAGATCCCAACCCTGATACCGATAAAAGCCCACGTAAAGTTTAATGATTCTTTGACGCATACTTTTCCAGGAATGCTCTCTCATCGAATTTCTTATAATTTCAGTTATAAAACACTCATAAGCGCATGGAGGCCTAAGACGGATATAAAAAGTTATCTCACCATCTGAAATTCTCTTAATTTCCCTCATAGTGAACAAAGCCAACAAATTTGCAAGACAAAGCCTGTTTTTGCAAGGAGATGGACCCTGTATCGTTTCTCTTGATTTGACGCGTTCCATCAGCGAACTCTCCGAGTTACGGTTGTCTAATAATGGCAGACATTCCTCCACACGTCCTCGTTCAACTGAAAACAGTCTGTAAGGGCATCCAAAATATATGAACTGATCGCCGTGAAGAAATTTCAAATCGGTTACATGCGTAATAGTATCTCTACTAATCACAAAAGGCCTACTCTTTCTCCGTCCGGTCGAAGCGTCAAAGAGTACGAGAGACCGACCAAGTGCACCAGCCACTGTCCCTTCATCAGACGACATGGCAATGCAGAAAATATGAGCAGTGTAAGTGATGGGAACTGCAACTAAATCAGCGGATTTTGATCGGTTATATTCAAGCCAAGGAGATGGTGAATCCGGGACGTTTAAGATGCCTCGTAAACATGAATGCAGAAGGTGGGGACATTCTGAGAGGACAAGAACATTATATTCAATAACTTCAAAAAGCTTTGCCAGAGATTCTTGTTTCGGTTTGTCAAGGCGGTCACTAAAAAGCATAAAATCTTGAAGCAGGTGATAGACTTCAACTCTGCTACATTGCAATCTTCTCTCTATGTAATGATAATTTGTTAAACAACTGAAACCAAGATTCAGTGAATCTTTCCCGTCCAACTGACACAAAAAGCGAACCGCAACGCGCACGACATAGTCTAC